TTTGCTACACCTTGTACAATATATTGCAGTGGCCAAAGTGCATGTCTTGAGCCTATGCACAACGTGGACTTTATAATACACAATATATTAATATAATGTTCTAAATAATTTTGTTGTACCTATTACGCGAAAATTATAATAATTAACATATTATATTATTATGTTTAAATATTTTTGTGATGTAATAATATAACCTTTTCAATATTATGGTGACAAGTGATAACGATTGATGGGAGGTGCATTATCGCGAAATAAAACGGAATTCACCAATTTCCCACAGTTAACACTTAACCGAACCATGCCCAGCACAATATCCATAATAATTATAATACATTGATACATATTATACTTTTACGAATTTAGTCTCATTGATTGTGTGCGATAGAATCGTTTGCTAAAGTTGTAGGATATTTTCCAGTCCATATTATAATATTATATTACACAACGCACGTACGAATATCAGGTGTAATTATTCATGTGTCGTTGTTGATAAGCATGTAATAAAACGTAATTCAGCGTCGTTCCGTATTTTCTGTCTCTTCTTTTTATCTTATGCGTCATAACATTATTTTGATCGGACATGATACGTAATATTTCACGATCGTTATTGTTTTTTTTTTATGAATTTGTTACTTATTTTGCACGATCGTCGACGCTTTTAAACCTTACCTTCAAACGATGCGTTGAAAATAATAATAATAGTAATAATATTATGATAATAAAATCTTGTTGAACTCAATTTATTTTGGCGCGTGAGAATACTGTGCTCCAGAAGAAGATTGTAAATCGTAATAACGAAGAGAAATAGCATTTTGACATTTTCTGAGTATAGAGTACACATAGACAAATCATTGTGATACAAATTTGACCTATTTAGCTGATTGTATTGTCTTGCAATTTATGTACGGTTCAAAGATAATTATGTATACCTACGAAATGTGCAACTATGATTCCGTTGTAAATGTTGGTTACTTTTCAAGTCAATACTTACGAATTGCGAATACTTATCACACTAATGAATATTTTCAACTGTTGTTGATAATAAATCATTTTGGTTTTCATTGGAATGGGAAATAGGAACTTTTCTCACGACATCAGGATATTTTAAGGACGGATTTTTTGTACCTAATGAAACTTGTGGTTCATACCCCGAAACGTAAGCAATTTTCATTGTTTTGAAGTCAAATACAAACACAAAAATATATAATATAACCTTATATAAATATATATATATATATTATATATATATAATATAAAAACAAAAACTTGTTGAAAAAAAAATTCAAAAAATTTACAAAAAAAAAAACTAGAGAAAACAATATCGTATGTTAAGTACATAATAAATATACTACCTATCCAAATTGTTTCTGTATGAACTTTATACAACTTTAAGATTTATCTTAAAAAAACTTGGTTAGTCATTCTTAAATATGGTTCCTAGTTAAAATTTAAATCATAAATCCATGATTACCAATTTTTTTTAAACAAACCCTGGATCAAATTTACCAGGAAAAAAATGTTTGTACAACAACGATAACATTTTAATTTTCCAAAAGCGATACCAATTTTTTTATTAATATATAATTGTTTTTTTTTTTTAAATTTTTTGATGATCGTTGCTGTTGTTTTCAAATATATATTAGAGTGGAACAAAACCAACAATACAGACTTACTCAACACCTCGAAATTATTTCATATTTTTTTCATGGAAATTTGATCTATAAATAATCTATCATATTTTGTATAGTTATAATAATACTCGTTGGAATAGAACAATATAATATATACACGCTATACAGGATGTGCTGGGATAGTGCTGGGTTATTATATTATACAGATCGATGGTCAGTCACGGAAGAGTTGTCGCGGCACATGTCGTACAATAAATCATTTATGTTATTATAATATATGATACCTTAATTACGTGCAACATTTTCACGATGTGTGCGATGTATTATTACTTTAGCCTGTGTTAACAACGGACGGCGATCAATCGTTTGCTGCAGCATTATCCTTAGGTAATAAATGTATATTATAAATCTGTGACATTTTCACCAGGTGTCGTAGGTATAATATGTTTATGGTATCTATATTATGTTGGCCTAACGGGATGTCGCCCCAGCACGGTGCGTAAACGTGTTATTATGTCATGCTTAATATATTAATATTCTTACAGATTACAGGGTGATGCACAAAACAGGCTTAATTCAATATTATGTTCTCAGTAAATTTTGAGATTTAAAAAAAAAAAATGTCCTGGTATAGTTTGAGCAATTGTTGATTATCACAAAATATCTACATTTTTATCGGGTTTTTGTTAATTTCATAAACACTTTCATGTACATCATGTTCATTTATAATTTGCTAGTATCTATATCGAACTCGGTACTACAGATATTGTTCATATCATATTATAATATGTCACCTATTATTCTGAATATCTATAAACAGTAAACGTTTAAAAATAAATCATTTAACTATCGAGATTTATAAATTCTTTAAGCTCTGTTATAAAAATAATTTTTTTAGTGAAACTCACAAAAAAAGATTAGAATGAGTAAATTAGTGTAGTTGATTTAATTGGATCGCCCTGTATGTTGCATTTAAAGGACTGCCATGCCCGTGGAAGTCCGTGAAATACGACCACTGCCGCTTGTCGTGGTCCCAAACGGTCCACAACCATCGTGTAATATATTATATGGGTTAGGTATATACCTACCTATATACGCGATGTCTGACTTTCTAGTTGTGGAGTCGAGTTCAAGAGCTCTTGTTTTACATATTTATTTACCGCCAGAAATCGGCTGCATTATAATCGCAAACGGTCTTAACGCCTCCACGTTACAGCCCGACACCCGTTTAATAGATTTCAGGCAATATTTAAGTAAATTTGTAAGTATAATAGTATAATTTATAATAAAAGGTCGACCTGCCTAACCATTTTCAGGTCATAAATCGTTCATGTCTTTTTAGTGTTTACTGTGTAGAATAATAGTTATCCGGAATCAATAAACTATACCTTTTTGAAATCGACAAGACTTTAGAGAGATTTTTCTTCTTTAAATAAACTACTTAGTTAAGAAAATTATCCAAAAACATTATTCACTTGGTAAAAAAAATTAATGATGAAAAAGTAACTTTTTCCATGATATGTTATAGCTTATAAGTATTTTGAACAAAACTGTTTATTTAAATAAGTAATTCAAGCTAACTGTCGGTTGGTTAAAAGTTAATTTATTTTGCAACAAAAGAAAGGAAATTCGAAGATATAAAAAATAAAAACAAATTATAGTATTTGGTTAATAATATTATAGGTAGGTATACAATTTAATATCGGACATATTGATCAATCGGAGCTAATTATTTAAATTAAATTCTATGCGAACATTTCGTTCAATTGAAAGCAAAACTTTTCCAAGTAATAAATTGTAGCTACCCCTATAGAATTTATTTAAAAAGAGCTAGTTACATCGTAGTAAGAAGTAAATATTAAAATCAAAGTTACAGAACCTACTTTACTTTTAAACTCGCCAGTACCCAAACATGCTTTCAAATCAAAATCACATACAACTATATGATGTATTTAATTTTATTGACTTTGCAAGGCGATCGAATCGTTTAAAAATGTCAAAATGTAAGTACTATAGGTCTATGACTTATAGTTACACATTATATTTATTCAGTCAATAATAATTTTTATTTAAATATTTAAACTATAACAAAATACAATGGAGTAAATAACATGTCCATTGTCTATTTAATCAACTGAATATTTTTTCAATAAATAAAGTGTTTCCCTCCAGAATATTTCATGGGAATCCGAGCACGTAGAAAAAACAATAACAAAAATAGCCAAAATATTTGGTTTTCCAGACATATTTTGCATAGGATATAATATTTTTTCAGTATACGTTATTACTTATTGACAATCATTTTATTAGCTCTTGACTGTTATATATACTGTAGCCCATAGGTAATATATAACTGTAATCTCAATGTTGTTCAAATGTTTACCTTAATCAAAATGTAATACGATTGTGTATCATATTATATGATTGAGACAGGTATTATTCATACAATCATCATATAATTAAAATAATGGTATGCGTTTCGTTGTACTTGCTTCAATTTGAATATTATCATAAATTATGTCGTTTTAATAATAAAAAATAAAATTTGAATAAATGGTTTAATTCTACAGTGACGATATAATTGTTTCAGTTCTGAATTTAAAACTAATCTCTGCATGTATGGGATTAAAATGATGGACTTTCGAAACGGTATCCGACGATAAAACGAAAACAAAACCTGTTAAACATACACACACTATAGGTATTGTACGGAAAGTGGGTACCTTAGTTTTAAAACGGATATAGAAAGCCGTGCATTTCGTGGACATTTCGTAACGACCCTCATATAAATGCCTAGTTAAATGTGTGCAGTGTTATACCCGGGTTGACATATATTATAGTAAGTAGTGCATTATCCATAAAAGCATAGTAAGTGCACAGTCAGCCGGGTGTGGACGCATTAGCTGTTACCGCCATCATGACCTGCATTTCATCGTGTATGTATTTCAATATTAATTAGCATAATTAAAAGAATAAATTGTATCTGTAACATATTATATTATATTGTTGTGTGCGGCCTGGGACTAGCACAAAACGATATACGTTACACGGGTTACGAGGTGATAATAATAATATAATATACTATATTATTATTATTATTATAATCGTGTTGAAACGGTTTTCTGAGAAAAAATGAATACAAATTGATTCCTGATACTTCTGTCTGTCGTCAAATGACAAAGGGATTGGATTTCAATCGTTTGCTCTCATCCGTCTCATTATATACTACTCATGGCTCGCAATATATACAATAATGTGACATGTACAACTATCTAGGATATTATGTGTATCCCCGTACAAATATTTTGTTTGTCATATTTGCATCGTTTGATGAACCCGACACAACCGCTATTTATCGGAATTTTTTTGTCATTGCCCGATTTTATTTTTACGAACATTATTTTGTTGAAGTCGTTGCTCTATTCCCTGCTGCGAAGTGCAGTGCAGCAAACTCTGTTTCGAGGTGCCCTTGCAAAAGTATTTTGGATGTATTTGTACGGTAACACATAGGGCGAGGGTTTGTCCATTACCTCCCCCCCATTGAGGATCAGACTCACAATTAATATTATCCGACAACAGTTTTGTTTCCATCGCGGATTCATGATAAGTATATTAAATGTCTCAGTGTCGTGGACGATGTGGGTGATTATTTATCATGTCGATGTACAAATCAACTGGACCGTGTTCTATAAGTTATTTAAGTCAAGTGATTTCCATTATAGATGAACAAATTGCATTAAAGATTTTATTTAAATAGGAATTAAACTAAACATCAATCCTAGAGAAATCGTAGTGTCTCGATTCTTCTCATTGCGATTATCCAGTGAACTTTTATAATACATATAGTATACACATAGTATGTCAAGCATGATATATTTATGCGTATATTATAATCAAAATAAGAAATATGTATGAATATAAAATATTATATCATGGAGATTTAACATTTTTATTACTCCTTATTGTGACAAAAATATCAAAGATACATATCACACCTCCCCCACATCAAAGATAATCCACTGTTGTGATATGTTTATAATATCATATTGTCATGTACATTATAGTCACATAATATAATAATATTGCATTGTTAAAAACGAGATTTCATCATCATTTGTTTCCGACTTAAATATCGTATATTATGTAAGACCACACTGTACGCCGCCGGGGGATAATATGTGCTCACAAGTTCCTGAAATCGTAAAATCGATTTCAAACGTTCCGTCGTTGCTCGAGCGAAATCGTAATAAACAATATTATGTGCACGTGTTTCTACGGCGAAACAACATGCTTTTGGCACAGCATCGCTTGAAGTCGATGTTCAGTATAGGTACAGCCGAATAACGTATTGTAAGCCATCCAGCGTTTTTCAATGTAGGTATATCATCCTATAACGGACAATGGCCCCACCGATCGAAATTGTCAGTACTACGTTACACCATAAATTATTGATTTCTGTGTTTGTATAGAAACTCCTTGAGCCATACACTCAGTGGCTTATCCATGATTATGAAAGTGGGGGGGGGGGGGTTAAGTATAAATAATTATACAAAGTTTTTTTTAGTTGTATACAAATAATATACATTTATCAGTGGAAAATGGCAATAATGGTGGGGGTGGGGGGTGTTAAACCTCCACCCCTGACTATGCCGCTGCATATACTTCGCCGACCACATAAGACACCACTATAAAAACAAAACTCGATCGCGGACGACGACACGAAACTGTTCGATCGAGAGTCTATTGAGTGACGACCTCGTTCCCCTCAGACTGATTGATCAGTGACGGAAATTATCTCGAATATTCCGTACACGTAACACGTACCACGGTCAATAAATTTATACCACGGTCTAGGTGACCGCCTCTCGAAATATGTGTTTACCTACTGTTTAGTGTTTACGTTACTATTGTGCGAAGGGTAACAGCGATGTTTTCCATTGGTCGATCATAAAGAATAACGGAAGCGCGATCGCGGATCTTTTCTCACCTCATATGACGTCGCTCGTCGTCCAAACATTTACAATTAGGTAATTCATGGGAGATTAACCAACGAAAAATTTTAAATTGAATATTCGGTTATTTCCGTGTCACTGGTTACAGACAGTCTGCTGAAAACGCGGTCGCCGACGAGCTTTTTTTCTACTTTAGATATCCGCCTTATCGTTTTTGTGTTGTGCAGTTCAATGACTGCTTGGCAAAACTATATGTATAATTCTATGGGCACAATTGATAATATTGTATATTTTTTTTCATTAAATTCCTTATATTTCTAACAAAAATTAAGATATATTTTGTTTTTCAAAGAATAAAATATGATTTTTAAATTTGTTTTAAATACACTCTCCATATTTATATTTATACGCTTTATAAATACGCAAGTATAAAAGTTGCAATGAAAATATGTGCGAATATTATAATATCGAGTGTATAATAGTACTTTATGTGTACAGACTACAGAGTATACAGAAAAAGGATCTACAGCCAGCAAAAATGCTCGTCGATGCATATCTGCGGTGAATTTGGTTTTTGGAAATTTCATTTTAGTAAGCATAGTAAGCACTTAGGACTTTAAATATAGTTTTTATTACCTGGTAATTGCCTAAGAATCATGCCACTGCTCACAAAGTTCTCAGCAGGTTAATCGGTCCAACCAATTAAAGTTCGTTACACCGTGGATATGGTATATAAATTTTTTCATTCTTTATAACATACGTCGTATCTACCGTTCACAGGTTACCAGAACAATCGAGAAAAATCTCAATTTTCCCTTTATATACGAAAGTATCAGCTTTAAACTACCAAAATATATACCCACGCAAACGGAACAGTATTTTATCGCACGTGGTGGAAGCACGATGAACTACAGCGGTTTTTGGCGTGTTCAAACACAGTGTTTTCGTGATATGCCTAAATTAATCTCTGACGGTATAATATATTATAATGTATATAATGACATAACACCCATTTCATATTATTTTGATTCGTCACAGTCGTTTGTAAGAGTACATTTGAGATTTTATTGTCAACTAAATTTGCATGAATAAACGTGTTCGAGAACAATTTCACGTTGCTGCAGTTTTTATTTGCATTCGAATATTTTATTATATCCGTGGCAATGAACGTAAGTTCGGTAATTTTGAACAATTTATCATCTCTCTGCGTCATTACATAATATAATATTATACATACGTTTTACATTGTAATGCATAAGCACAGGTGCCTATTATTTCGATTTACAGTATTGATATACTTCGAACGGCTCAGTACCTATAGTTATGTCTTAATAATATTGTGAAATTTTTAAAATCATATATTATTCTTCATACCGTAATAATGGCATAAGTAATTACCTATGTATAACTACTGCATCTGTTAACAGGATGAAAGATCAGATCGACCGGCATTAATATAAATCGCACAATTAATAACATTATAACAAATTTAATTATCCCTTTTTGTCAACCGTCTAACTGTGACGACGCAATCTATTGATTTTAAATAAAAACGCTAATTTTTGCAAAATAATGAATAAAAAATAATTTGTGTTTATGTTCGTGTCCACGAGCGTTCATAAATTAAACGCTACAAATGTAAACATATTACGAGGCCATAAAGTATTGTTGTATCCTGTTATATTATACCATTGATTATAAATAGTATTTACAATCAATGATTATACTCACACAAACTGTATTATTATTAATTGAAATAACCCACGTTGAAATCAGCATTTATTATAAATATTATTGACCAAGTTTACTACTTTGTCAGACAAAGTATTGAACCACATCGAAGAGTTGTTGTGTGATCGATATTCGTGTGTGAATATAATACTATAGAGAGTTCAATAAGTTCATGTATGGTGGTGGTTAAAAAGGAGTGTTTTCATTGGTCCATTCTTGTAACGGTGGTTCCATAAAAAACATGCATCCCTACTCCTTTTTCAAGATGCACCTATGCTTCATATTTTTATAAGCTATTATACCGTACGCTATTAATAGGCTTATTATTTTATAGTATATACAAACAACGGAAGTTGGGTACTTTGGAAATAATTATAAGACACCCGAATGGGTCTTGAAAGTCAGCCGACCGAACGGAGAAAAGAATACCAATTCCAAACGGGTGGAACGAAAAAAGATGAAAGTTTATTAAGAAATAAAGATATAACTGAAATAATGTGCAAGGGAATCGATTATACTTTTATTTTATTTTTAAATACCCCAATATAATATATTTTGTCCTGTTGTACGACTGCACATTAAACAAGTAATAAAATTCCGCTCATATCGCAAAACGCCAGCCGTTATATAACCAGAAATATATATAAATAAATATATATATTATATTATAATTATTTATATTATATTATATATTATATATATATAATATATATATCAATAAATGGCTATAATGATATACTGATATATATAATATTATAGTTAATATACTGGGTCATTCAAAATGTATTTTTACTATTTTTTAAGATTGTAATTTTTTGAACGATAGCATAGATTTTTAGATCAATATTTTGAAGCAGAAAAAATTTTAATGGAGCATTTCGATTCACAAAAATAAAATTTCGAACGATTAGATCATATAAGTTGCGAGTTTAGTGGAGTAGTGGTCTAACATTTTGAGGGATACCAAAACACGCTCATTTAAACTTTAAATCACTATCAAGCACAGAGTTTTGTATCAATTAAAATTGATAAGACAAATATATTCCCCATAAGATGTTTGTTAAAAAAAAAAAAAACAAACATCCCTCCATTAGATTTTCAAAAGTCGACCCACGAAACCCCCTCCACAAGATTGTAAGAAATCATAAAATTTACAAATAAGTTTAGATGTTCTTGAATAAAAAAACTTTTTTATCAGACATTTATCTCTATTTTGATTATTTATGATATAATAAAATATTACGATAAAACGACTGTAACATAAATTCTGATGTACCTACCATCCGGCACGCGTACAATACACTGTGTTACCATGGTTAATGCATGCACTGCCGTAGACGGTTTTGTTATTTTTAAACAATTTTTCTATTTGCAGGTATGATGCGATACAGCGTGCCCACTTGCAGACCGCTGGGCGAAGAGGGCGATACCTGCAGACCACACTCTGGTGACGTCCAACCTCAGAACGTTACCGTCACCTACCCCGACGGATCGTCTGCCGATCTGTACGTGCACTCAATGCTGTGTCCGTGTGCCTCTGGACTTGAGTGCTCGGATGGTATGTCGTGCACAGGGCTAGACGGGGCCGGCAAGCTGATGTTGCGCGAGGACTACACGGACGTGGATGACCTCAACCACCTGCGACGATGAGCACAGCCACTACATGGCGATATCCCCGTCGCTTATCTATTATTATTATTATTATTATTATTATTATGTCATTGCTATATTATAATATTGTTTTCACCACTGGCGTAACACAAAAAACGATTACTTACTGTAATATCACTGTTATAATTTATACGTGCCCACTATTTATCATAACACTACCTCTAATATTATATTATTATAATACACGACTACACGAGTCCTAGCTATACTATACTGCAGCGCAATTGACACGTATAG